AGTTCGCAGAATAACTTAACTGAGCGTTCACTGATTTGTACGAAAGCCGAATAGAGTCACTTATTTTGTTATTTCCTTATGACAAGATGTTTAATTGTAACAAGTAACGAGAAAGTTACAAAGAATATGGCTCACAAAATTTTCGAGAAAAGTATTGCGTAATTTTCTCGACAGCGATGTAGCTTGGTCTATATCAATATCTGTAGACCGACATCTAGCGGAGTGTAGGGTGGCGCACTCAGAATTGTTAGACCGGGGGTGGGGTGGCGGGAGTTTGCATGTTAACAATGAATTTTTACTATTTTAGACAAAAGTGTAGCCCGCAAACAACACGGCCTAAATGTAAGCAATGCCACTGCTAATATTTGCATCATGGTATCTTCTAATCAATATATAAGTACTCTAAATTAGTACATTTATCTTGTAATGATTATATATTTTCTCGTTAAATTACCTTTTGAAAAACAATATTTTCAGCTTCCGTGTATTCTCTCTTCCTATTTCGAAAACTTGGTATCATTAACGTGTTAAATTGAACAATTAATTTACCAATTTGAAATTTCAAACGTGAAGCGTGTTATTAGTTTACCTATTACATATATATCAATCACAATAAAAGTGAAAATTGTTGCACGTCTACATTTCTATTACGATAATCAGAAGTAATTTACTTAAAACACATGTCATAGTATAATTCCATGTATTGAAATTTAATCATGCGTTAAAAGTAATATATAATGTAAGTCAAAAGTTCGTGATATACATGTTAACTGGCATCTATAATTGGAACCTAGGGGGTTAAGTTACATTATAAAGGCGAGCCGGGGATGGACGGGCATATAAAAACAGTGAGAAATAAATATATCTTTAAATATGAGACAAATCAAGTAAGCAATGCCATCTTCATGCTGTATGCATATGCATACGTGCGTGCGATCGTGCGCTTATGTGGTTTATTTTTCCTCGTCGCCAGAATATTTTCCATATTGACGCACATATTTAATGTTATTATCATATGAAGTTTCATCTATAAACAATGGAAGATTGACGTAAAAATTATTGCCTTTGATCATTTACTTAACAGTACTGTGACTTCTACGTGTACTTTATTATCAGTCAATACCAGGAAACAAAAGTCAGTGATCGATCATTCTTTCGAATTTATTGAAATAATAAGTACCGCGGTACCCAAGGCCACCACCCTGTAAAACTGAAATAAAAAAAATCCTTTCGTAATGGGTGAAGCTTGTTCAAAATTTATGTGAAGATCAACGTCTAGGGGAATGTATATGTAACTAGCGGGCCTGTACCTCCGAATTGCTTTTTTCTCTAGAGTTCCAAAGGTGCCATTTTGGGTAAAAATGTTAGTGCAATAAATACGTTTAGGGGATTATAAGATATTGCAGGCAGACAAATCGATATTGTATTTTGCTTTTTCTCATTTCTGGACAAAGGTATAGGCCGCGGCACACTATAATAACGCCACTGCTAATATTTACGATATTGTATGATAAGTATCACGCCCATAATGACTTCCATCTCTTATATCATAGTTTGGGGACCTTTCTGTTGAAAATATGTCAGAGTTAAATCGTATACATATACATGCACAGTACGTTATCTACTCCGGAGTGCAGAGTATGCCCATTGATTGGCTCATTTTTGCTGCAGTTTACTTATTTACTTATTGTGACGGAAGAGAAAGGGAAAGCGACAGAAATATCATATTCAGATGCTCGTTCATCGGTTACTTTTTCTCGGGGTTTCATAAGTGTTTTTATGTTTGACAAAAGAGAAAGAACACCAAATCACTCGGCAATCTGATTAATACTCGGGGCTGCGCCCCCTCGTATAAATCAGATAGCCTCGTGTTTCTATGCTCTTTCTATTACTTCATGATAATATAACTTTCGTCTTAGTAAGATATATTTGTTTGGAAAAAAATATGTATTGACACTTCATTTGACGTATATTTAGTAAAGTACATTAAATGTAATTATATGACTACCACGGACTCTCCTTTTTTGGACACTTGATACCAGTAACATGTCAAATTAAACAATTGACTGACCGAATTGAATTTCAAAATCGTGAAACTTATTTACACCACATATTAGCAATATACTATTGTGTGAATCACATTAGAATTAAGGTGAATTTGTTCCATGTCTGTAGTTTGATTAAAATACACAGAAGTTATATGAGTAAGTTTAAAACTTTAAACACAGTCATGTCATTTTATAAGTCCATGTATTGATAAATAAATTTTGCGTATAATGTAAATAAAATAAGTCCATGATATACATGTTAACTAGCATCTATTAATAGAACCTAAGAGATTTAGTTGCATTATAAAGGCGAGTCGAGTTATTGTATTTCAGTACAAACTGACTCATGCAAAAACTAATAAACCTTGCCCTAACTATCCAATAAATAGAGCATATTCAAGTTTTTTTCTACAAATACAGGATTTATTTTCATCAAGTGGTATGAAAATAAATATTTCATGAGTGGCGATAGCCACGAGTGAAATATGATAATTTCCATACCACAAGATGAAAATAAATTCTGTTTTTATAGAAAAAACTTGAATTTTCTGTTTATCATATACATTTTTTTCTTTTCTTAACATTAGAAGTTCAAAGATTTTCCCCTTGAATTGTGTTTATTGGCTGAATTTAGAAGAAAGTAGTCCGGCAAGACACCAGTTAAAATACGGAAAATATGTTTCACTGCAGTGAAAAATATTTTCTTACAATGAAAATACGGAAATTGAAAATACGCATTTTATTTCAACAATATTTTTCAATATTTCATTTATAAGTATATGATAAACGCACGTATATATCAACACAACGTTAAGCAAGAAAAGTACTGTCATATTGAAATCCCTTAAGAATTGATGAAAATCATTTACAAATGGTATATAATTTATTATATACTTATAAATGAAATATTGAGAAATATTGATGAAATAAAATGCATATTTTCATTTTTCGTATTTTCACTGTAAAAATTTATTTTTCACTGCAGTGAAACATATTTTCCGTATTTTCACTGGTGTCTTTGCCGGACTACTTTCTTTAAAATTCTGCCATTACACAAAATTTAAGGGAAAGTCTTTTAAATTTAATGTCAAAAAAGAGAAAAATGTATATAATAAACAGAAAATTCAAGTTTTTTCTATAAATACATGATTTATTTTCATCTTGTGGCATGAAAATTACCATATTTCACTCGTGGCTACCGCCACTCATGAAATATTTATTTTCATACCACTCGATGAAAATAAATCATGTATTTATAGAAAAAACTTGAATATCCTCTATATATTATATTTTTTTTTGTAACGTTGCTTTATATTGGGTAATTCAGGCGTTTATATTAATTATATACACAGCTGCTGTCAGTTTATGAAATAATTTCATTTTTTTCAAATGTATATGTATTATAAATACATGTACCTTATAAAGTCTGTTGACCGGATTGGGTTATATATGAAACAAGCGTTTTTATGGGACCATATAACTTATTAAAAAGTCTTTATAACTAATAAATAGAGGATACTGAATGAGTGTAAGTTCAATACTGAATTTTTTGCACGAGTTGAATAAAATTATATTATGCGAGCCTCCCGAGCATAATATTATTTTATTCAACGAGTGCGATAAATTCAGTATAGAACTTACACGAATTTAATATTCTATTTATCACATACCCAAAATAAAGACCGTTAAAAGTGAAATAAGAGTCATTTTTATTGACGCGCTTATAGTATAATGCTAACATTTAGCGCGCCTGTATAACGCTAATGACGTCACGTCAAAATATATGCACGGCCGTGCAATACCATATTTACGGAGTCGCAAAATCGGCACGGGTGTGTGATAATATAGTTTACAACATAATGTCAAAGCAAACATTGAAATAGTAAATGTTTAAACAGAGTCCATCCATACTGAATTCACATATGAATTTGGTTTGCCTGTTTATAATTACTGGCCGGTATTCTTCGAATTACATATGTTTCTTCTATGCTAAAGAATAGACACATACCAAGAAAATTGAAAATTGAAATCAAAACCAAATATCTGTTTAAAAAAATAGAGAGTACTGCATTTAGGCAACCGTCATCGGTTATTTCAGAGTAATGGAATCAAAAGTAACCAGCATTTGCACATGCGCAGTCTGACCAGGCTTTAAATATTCATTTCAAGGCACATTTTTCCTAAAAAAAAATCCAGAAAAATTCTTTCTTCTTTAGAAAGATACACTGTACTGTTTTTTAAATCGCTTAAATAATATATTTCGGGCATATTATATGTTTTACCCGATGCATGTAGCGTAAACTTTAACTGTGAAAGTACGAGTATTTGTCATAAAAGTAGCAAAATGTAAACAATAAGTAGTACTGCAAGTACTTAATTATGTAAGGCTTCTTCTTTTTTGTACTCTTTCTTTCTATCTTTTTCTTTCTTTTTCTTTCTTTCTTTCTGTCTTTTTTTCTTTTTCTCCATTCCTTCCTTCTTTCATTCCTTTCTTTCTTTCTTTCTTTCTTTCTTTCTTTCATTTTTGTTTATTTTTTAATTTTATTTATTTATTTTATTTTATTTTGAAATATTATAAAGTTCTCACATATACGCATGATTAAGAAAAAGTCGACATTATTGACTCAGAAGGCGAATGATATGATTTACTTCCAACTCTGATTTACACCAATAACTCCGATATACACGCTGCTTTGCTTTTACAGTGTATACATGGACCGTGTCCATATCAAAATATAAACGCATTAAAAACAAGAAGACATTGAATTTGTTGAGATGATTCGTTATCTTGATAGTTATACAAAAATGTATGCTGGGTGATTTTTTATCTATAAAACATGTTGTAAAATGGTAAACTAAAACATCATTGAGTCTGGATCGAAGACATAGACTGTATTTATAATACTGAAAAAAAAACTTAGTGGTGTTCAACTTTGTAATTCATCGCAATACATTTTTTTTTCAAATAACCGCCGGTCGGTGTTACCTCGTGCAGTTTATCCTAATTTCTTGAATTGCGTCAACTTTGAAAATAAATCTTAAAATCGTATTTCATGAATTAAAGTCATGTTTAATCGAAACGTGATCGGAGCTTCCGTGGGCTTGGGTAGCTGCCTGGCTGCAGGTGTCGGTCTGAAAATGTTCAAAAAGTCGGAAATTGACAAAAACGATACCCGAGTGAAAACACAAAATGAAAATCGTAAAGTTTTGCTCGATGGGTATGATTTAAAACAAGTACAGGTCATAATTAGACATGGGGCTAGGACACCAATCCACACAATGTATAATGTAGAACAGGTACACACTTCAAAATATTTATATAATTTGTCAGTGAAGACAACACTGGTTAATAGTCTCCCCTGAGTAGAAATTTATAAGGTGTTACATAATCAGGTGAACCAAAGGGCTCATTGAATGTTCACAAAATATGTATTTGATGGTAGAAAACATTTATCCTAAGTCAGAAATGAATTCTAAGTCCATTCCCATTTAGCCTAATTAATTCGGCGTGAACGTTTTGACCCATTTTACAGACTTTTTAGCTCGACTATTCGATAAGAATAAGTAGAGCTATTGTAGTCACCCGAGCGTCGGCGTTGGCGTAACCACTTATGTTAAAGTTTTTGTAATAGTTCAAATATTTTCAAAGTCCATTGACATATGGCTTTGAAACTTTGCACACTTGTTCACCATCATGACCCCAACCTGTAGACAGGAGGAGGTAACTCTATCAAGCATTTTGACAGAATTATGCCCCTTTTTCGACTTAGAATTTACGTTAAAGTTTTTGTAATACCTCTCATATTTTCAAAGTCCATTGACATATGGCTTTGAAACTTTGCACACTTGTTCACCATCATGACCCCCACCTGTAGACAGGAGGAGGTAACTGTATCAAGCATTTTGACAGAATTATGCCCCTTTTTCGACTTGGAATTTACGTTAAAGTTTTTGTAAAAGTTCAAATATTTTCAAAGTCCATTGACATAATTATGGCTTTGAAACCTTGCACACTTGTTCACCATCATGACCCCAACCTGTAGACAGGAGGAGGTAACTCTATCAAGCATTTTGACAGAATTATGCCCCTTTTTCAACTTAGAATTTATGTTAAAGTTTTTGTAATACCTCTAATATTTTCAAAATCCATTGACATATGGCTTTGAAACTTTGCACACTTGTTCACCATCATGACCCCCACCGGTAGACAGGAGGAGGTAACTGTATCAAGCATTTTGACAGAATTATGCCCCTTTTTCAACTTAGAATTTACGTTAAAGTTTTTGTAATAGTTCAAATATTTTCAAAGTCCATGGACATATGGCTTTGAAACTTTGCACACTTGTTCACCATCATGACACCAACCTGTAGACAGGAGGAGATAACTGTATCAAGCATTTTGACAGAATTATGCCCCTTTTTCGACTTAGAATTTACGTTAAAGTTTTTTGTAATACCTCAAATATTTTCAAAGTCCATTGATATATGGCTTTGAAACTTTGCACACTTGTTCACCATCATGTCACCAACCTGTAAACAGGAGTAGGTAACTCTATCAAGCATTATTTTTTACTATCAAGCACTAGAATAGTTGAGCGTTGCTGTCCTACCGACAGCTCTTGTTTTTCTTACTGTCAAACCGTTGGAAAAAGACAGCCCCCGTCCAAAATTATCTTGGTGTCTCTTTGACAAGTCTAATTAGTTGGACTAAGTTTTTCATTGATTCATATAGGAAAAAAACTCGACTGTTATATATTGGTTGAGTTTTTTTCGGACCTTGTATATATCAATGCCAGTGTAAGAAATTAGGATTTGAATTCACTAGGTTGGTCGGACTACAAGATTGGAATATTCACTAGCCCAAAAGACATTTCACTAGCACAATTCATTTGTTCAAAACAGTTATTTATATTGCCTCTTAAAATACAGTTGCCTGGTCGGGCTTGTTACTCAACTTACTGTGCAAAGTTGGTAGCCCGAGGAAATTTTAGTAGTCTGGGGCTATAGGACTACTGCTAATTTCGAACACTGATTATAAATTATAGATAATTAATGAAATGAAATTTACTCTCATTTAATCAAAAGATACATCCCCTGAATGAATTATTTCCACTGAAAAAAGCCCTTTAATCTTTAATCAATCTTAATAACAGTATACAAACAGCCTCTAATATTGGATGTCTTTTGTATATTTTTTTGCGGCAGCGAAAACAACTTGAAAAAACTGCATTATCATCGTTAACTGTAATGTAGCTAACGATTTATTTATTTATTTGTTTCTATTACAAAAAAAGAAAACATTATGTCATTGCGATAAAACACTTATATAACTAGTATATGAAACTCGTTAGTTACAAGGATATAACACTGGCTGGGGCGACATCTCGGGATGTTTCTGCAAAAAAAAATTGTCTCAGCCTAACGGCCTCGCCATTTTTTAGCAAAAACACCCCATGATGTCACCCCCAGCCAGTGTTATATCCTTGTAACTAACTCTTTTCATATACTATAACTATTACCTACATAGCACATTATCTCATAGTGTAGTACATTATTATTTGTAGAGTAAGTATTTCAATAACAAATACGCATTTTCTATGTTAATTTTTTTCTTCTTTTTCTAATTTTGATGAAATATTAAACTCCAGGTATTTTTTGTATATTACATTTAAACATAATTGTATAATTTAAGGCAATTTTCAGATAAATCATAATCAGGTGATAACCAAATAAACAGAATCATTTTGTTCTCCTTCAATCTTGGCATGCATCAACTTTAAACCCACTACTTAATTGTATAATTGTACATGTATAAGATGTGAAATATTTTTTCTTTTTTTTTGCACTTAGGTAAAGTATAGATACCTTTTTTTCTTAGTCAAATACTGGTTTATCTAAAATCTGTGTGTTTTTACTCCTATTATATGGTTGAAAAAAAAAACAACAACAAAGAATTTTGTTGTCAACGCATCTCGTACATGTACACCATTACATTTTGAAAGATGGATCAGATTACACAATTTACAAACCTCTTTTTTTGCAGGTAGATTACAGTTCAAAATTATTTATGGGAGATCTTGCACACACTGTATATAACTACAAGTCAGTGAATCTAGATGGTGGTCCAAAACCTAAATCAACATATGATGCTCACTATAGTCAACCAGAAAGATTGTTAAAGGTAAAATTCCTCCCCTTAGATTGCTCTATCTTGTTAGATACATTGTAGTTGACCTGAAAGAACATCAGACCCATAGACAGACCTTTTTGAAGGGCCAATTTGGGACTGAAATTCAACCCCATTCCTCAGGCCTCCTCGAAAAGTATATATTTTTCAGGTCAGGTTCCCTGTTAGTGGACGAAAATCCCCTGATGGGGGACTGCATATACCTTCGAGAGGAAAGTATATTTGCACATTTAGGCCAAAGTTTAGGTGTTTTGGTAGAAAATAATTACTTAACATAATTAACTGAAAAAGGGCACTGTTAGAGAGTTTAATTGTATACATAGTATTGTAACCTTGTATTTTACAGGTCACTGTGTGAATTTGAGTGAGTCATAATAATATCACTACACTTAATGATATAAACATTATTCAGAGATTTTTCTGTGATAAATGACTGGGCTCAACATTTAAATGTTTACCGACTCTGTAAAGGCTAAATGACAACTTTCAAGCATTATTAGTGGAGAGTGACCTTAGATGCCCTGCCATAAATTATTTCAATTAGAAGAGGATACCTAAGTAGAACCACAGAGTCACCAACGCCCTATATAGATAGCTGCCTTACACAAAATAGCCCAAAGTCATAAATGAGTGTCCTGTCATTTAAACAGAATAAAAAAATAAGAGTTAGTTTTATTCAAATTTATTTTAGATTGATACTGTTTGAAGCTATAAGCTTATTGAAACACTCTCAAATCTGTTCCTGGAACCAACCAGTACTAAGCAATGAATGTAAAGTTTCTTGCTCAAGGAAACCACTGCTTTCCCCTGACCGGGTTTGAACCGACACGGTCAGCAATACTTGGATTACTATCTTACATGTTTACCACTTTCTTAGATGATGTACTCACTAGTATTTTAATTTCTTCTTTTTTTATTCCAGGGTAAAGCTATACGAGGGGATCTTACAAAACTAGGTCAAGATCAAATGTATGTGATTGGTCGGTTGCTACGGAAACAGTATATACGTGAAGCCAAACTTATAGACAGTGAATTTGATCCAGAACAAGTATAGTAGGTTAACTGAACTGAAATTTTTGCCATTGAGTAATTATATTGTAAAGTTTGAGATTGGTTCATATTCCTACTTTTAATTAAAAATGACTAAGCATGTTCATAGCTTGTTATTTATACAGACTTATTTTTAGTTCAATCATGTTGGAATATTATTGAAACTCTCTCAAATCTGTCACTTGAACCATCCAGTACTTAGAAAGTTTCTTGCGCAAGGAAACAATGGCTTGCCCCTGACAGGGTTTGAACATACGAAGCCAGTAACCCTTTAATTACTAGTATGAAGCATTAACCACTCGACCATGCAGCGACCTGTTCACACTTCATAAGTAATTTGTTTTAAAAGTTCATGATAGGTACGAATTTGTGTATTCAAATGTGTTTGTGTAAAAAATGACCGGGTTTGTTTGTTTTTAGCTTGACTTTTTGAAGAATACGAAAATTGTAATAACACAGGCCTGATCATCACACTTTGGTTAAGTCTTTCTTTAGTATCTCAAAAACCTATTGATGGGAATTGGTTTAAACTTCACACACTTATTTGAGAGCATTATAGGAAGTCACTAAGGCATATAGCTGGAATATGGATTTTGACCAAATTATGGCCCTTTTTTGAACAAAGGAAATTCTTTTAAATCCATGCCCTTGTTTTACTATAAAGCACTGAGTACGTTGTCCTACTGATATCTCTTGTTCATGATGAACATAGGAAATTCTGTTTACACTTCAAAGCAAAATCATTACAATTAAATGGGGAATTTCAATAGTTTTTCAGACAAGGATAAATTCAGTTCTTATTCTAAATGCCAAAAAAAAAAAGTAGATACACATGTACATAAGTTCACATTGTATGTTATATAATTACAGTATAAGGTCTACAAACACTAACAGAACTATAGGTACAGCAAGATGTATAGTTGCTGGGATGTTTGGAGCAGAGTCACTTAGAAAATTAAAAGGTATTTACTTAAAGCTGCATGCCTTAAGATATGAGCCAAAATATTTTAAGAAAATCAAACTTGAGAATATGTGCTATGATACTAAGAAAAGTAAATATATCAAGTAAATAATAATTAACATGTATTATGTATAAGTTAAAGCAGCATGCCTGCAGAAAATAGGTAACATAAATATTGTTTTGTGTTGTTTTATAAAGAAACTCAGGCTTTAGCTGATATAAGAAGTCGGTCAAAATTTGTGATTACTGGATAAAAAAAGGTCTTGTTTATTATAGTGTCACCCCTACTGAAAGGGCCAGCCATTTCTGACTTATGAGACACCTTTTGCTTGCATACCATGTACCTCCAAACTCCTACCACTATGCTAGGCGCCAGGCGGATAGAAATCGGTAACGATTCATTTTAACTACCTCGCGGCTCACGAAGCGACCATTTCGGAATGAGTCCCACGAGAAACATAACGCTCCCCGTTGGGCTCGAACCTTCCACCTCCCGATCCGAAGGCAGATGCCTTAACCATTAGGCCAACGGTACCGGATATATGTAGTAATTTAGAAAACCGGTTAATCTGGTGGACTGACTGCAGATATATGACCGACATGTCAGGGCAAAATACAAACAAACTAAAGACATGAATATTGTTTAGTAATTTTTTGACAGATTTTTTTGTATACTTATAATAGAACCTGTAGAAATTCACATTGATGAAGGAACGAAGGATGTTTTATTACCAAGGACTGGGGTATGTCACGTGTTACGACAGATAAATCACTATGCAATGGTACACGGTGGTGATTTGCCTGGTTTGAGGGAAAATAGACTTCTTATAGAAGATTTATTAGGTAGGTAACAGGATCTAATTCCAAATATCAAAGGTTAACAAATCTGTATCACAAATTCAGTAGGTAAAATGCTATACAAGGGCTGTCCCAGGAAGTTGTGGACAATTGCTGTTAAAGAATTTTTTGATTTTCTTAACCCATTACTTCATGAGAATTTTGTGAAAAATGGCTGTTTTCATCGAAAAGGCACCCCATTGATGAATCTATTTGATTGGGAATGGTGCCGAAAAAGTGATCACTTTTTTTAACAACATTTCTCAAACGAAAAAAACAGTGTTTGGGGTCTGAATAGGGCATTTTTTTCCACTATTTCGGTCTCACCACAAAAGTGAAAAGTTGTCAAAACATGTCTATATAAAAAAATGTGTTTAGGAAATAGATATCAATTCTGAGTGCATTGTTGTAGAATAATGCACAGTTTGAGTTCAAATGCGTAGTAATATAATCAAGAGGGCCGATAGGCCTGAGTGATTAATTACAAAGCATTTGAACGAAAAACAAATAATGCACGAAGAATTAATATCTATTTCCATTCTAACACGTCAAGAAAAAATATAATTATTAATATAAAGTTGGACTTTATGTTTGGTGGTTAAATTTGTTTAAACCTCAGAGTTTCCATTGAATAGAAACGTTTTATAAAGGCTGTTCCAGTGGGTTGAAACAAAACTGTCGTTAAATCTACCGTGTGTAGAAACATTTTCAGAATAACAAATTTTGAAAAACTTTGATAAAACCTTGTTTGTTTATTTTATTTCACCTTATAACTTTTCAAGCGAAATACAAATTATCAAAAGTGAAATAAATGTAAAACTTAACTCGTTTGCGACATTGAAATAGCGTACCTGATTTGATTGTTTTGCATGTGATGTTTGGGGCTACATTGTGACGTCACGTAAACAGCACTTTAAACATCTGTACAGCGTTAACGACTGAAGTAAAGATATTATATAGTGTTCGGATTCATTTTCTTAGTTAGACCATTTCCTTTCATTCTAGATAGTTTTCACAACAAAATTCGACAAAAAATTGTTTTTATTTATCAGATTTTTCAATGTGAAAATACACAGGGAGATAATAAGAACGGCGAGTGCATTGTTGTAGAATAATGCACGCTTCAAGCCTTCTTTGTTTATACAGAAAATTTTTCGATAGTGTTAGAATAAATAATTTTGAACAAAGATATCTCTATCAATTTGAAATGAAATGTGAAACTCTATTTCAAGAAAGTATTCATACATTAAATTTATATATTAAAGCATTAATACAGCCCTCATGCTTTATTATATATATCATCTGATGAACTTAGAAAGAATTTGAGAATGTGGATCTCTTTTCTCATACAAGTATTTTGTTTCTTTCAGATTATCATCCAGATGGGACGCCTGGTAAACATAAACTTAACTTTATAGACATCAGAGATGATATTGTGGCCAGAGAGGTAGCACTATCTTATTCTTTTCAGCTATTTTAACTCTTAGGACTATTAATAACACTTTGGGCTATTTTATCTTTTTGTGCTGATTTTAACTCTTTGGGCTGATTTTAACTCTTTGGACTATTTTAACACTTTGGGCTGATTTTAATCCTTTGGACTAATTTATTTAACTCTTTGTATGATTAGTTTGTCTGTTTTATTGATGCATATTATTGGGTAAAGTTTAGTGGTCAGTCAACCTAACAGGTTGTTCTAATTTAACATGATTTATAAATCAATGCTGTGAAACAAATGACCTGTAGACTTAATGTCCGAGATCAGTTGTCATGGAGAGATTACACCATGTATGAGGATCAAACCTTTGACCCTCGCATTACAGTTACTTATCAGATGCTCTCCCTATTAAGCTAAGCATAATATAGTATGTGGCTGAGTGGTTAAGGTCATTGACCTTAAACCACTTGCCCCCTCACGGCTGTGGGTTCGAATCCTGCAAGTGACTTTGGATTCTTTAATATGAGGAAGCTATCCAGCTTGTTAATGGAACATGTGAGGTTCTACTCTGGTACAAAAAAAAAACAACAACCTTAAATCATATTATATCTTGTATTGTAGACTCATGGATATCCCTATCCAGACCGGCTGAAGCCACATCGTCCAATGATAGAAGAAAATGCTTCCAAAGTCATGTATTATGCTTTTTGTGCACATCAAGAGTGAGTAACTCTTGCCAAATTTCAATATAGATACTGTAAAATCAAATTTTTTGTGAGGCAAAAATTTCATTTGATGCAATATTTTATACTAAATGGTCAGGTTTAATATTCACTAAATTATATTTTAAAATGATAATCTGTTAAATTTTTAATGATACTTTGATACATTTATTTTGTGAAAGTGTTTAATTTGGAAAATTAGCAAAATTTAATCCCTTGTGAAAATTTATGATTTTAAAGCACAGCTAAGACAATATAATTCTGTCGGCATGGCAACAATCCTTGTTAGTGAAGGAACAAAAGCAAGAGCTTGATAAAATTATTTGAATTTTTATGTTGATAACATAAGTTCATGAGTTACATAATATGTTGATAACCTAAATATGCATTATTGACATTTTTTGTTGATAATCTAAATTTGTGATTGACATTTTATGTTGATAACCAAAGATGTGTGATTGAATATTTATATTGATTACATAAATGCATAATTGAAAACCTAAAATAAATGATCAAATTTTTACATTGATTATCTAAAATGCACGATTGAATACTTAAGTTGATAACATCAAGTACATGAGTGACATAATATGTTGATAACCAAATATGCATTATTGAATGTATATATATATATCAACCTTAAATTCATGATTGACATTTATGATTACATATATAAGTTTAGAATTTTAAATGTATGATTGATATGTTAAACAGTTTAAAACCTAAAATGCATGATTGATATAATTATGTTAAGAAGTAAAAACATTAACCCCTTGTTCACTTTCCTGCATTATAGATTTACACAGTGTACCAACAAAAACATGATAAAACTAATGATGCTTTAAGCTTGAAATCCATTCCTGGAACCAACCAGTATGGAGCAATGAGGGTAACGTTACTTGCTCAAGGAATCAATGGCCTGTCCCTGATGGGGTTTGAACCGGTGCTGCTTGCGATCACTAGATTGCTAGTCTGACACGTTTACCACTCGGCCATGCCACAACTTTAAAAATAGATATTAGAATCAGGTATCCAGAAATTTATAATAGCATTCAGATGAAGTACAATGATACATTTACATACATGTATATAATAACCATGTATTATGTACATGTTTCAGGTCAGAACGAGAAGTGGCAATGAAGTTGTCTACAGGACCTCTTGTTAAATTATTGTTAGATACAATAGAAAATGCTGAAAACCTCAGGTAAAATTTATTATTATGCTTATAATTATTATTATTAGTATTATTATAAGTATTATTATTATTATTATTATTGTTATTTTTATTATATCATGTAATATGATTATTAATATGTTTATCATTATTATTATTATTATTATTGATATGTTTATTATTATTATTATCATTATCATTCTTATTATTTTTATTCTAAACACCTTTCATGTCATTTACTAGAAAACTCATATTGATACCATTGGTAAGAGTCAAGCTATCCTTGAAAAGTCATGATGCTATTCTAGAAAAGTCATGATGCTATTCTAGAAAAGTCATGATGCTATTCTAGAAAAGTCATGATGCTATTCTAGAAAAGTATCACCATGCTATTCTAGAAGAGAGTCACCATGCTATCCTAGAAAAGAGTCACGATGCTATTCTACAAAAGAGTCACGATGCTATTCTTGAAAAGAGTCACCATGCTATCCCAGAAAAGTCACAATGCTATTCTAGAAAAGAGTCTTAGAGTCAAGTCTTTTTAGTACCAAGTCAAGCTATTTATAGTTAAGCCATTTTAGAAAAGAGTCACATAAAATTAACCTATTCTAGAATAGAATCTAGCTTTTTAGAATTGTGGCCACATTCTAGAATATGATGGAGCTTTTCTGGAATAGTTGATCAAACCATTTTAGTGGCATAGAATGAAGCTATTCTAGAAAAGAGTGACATAGATACTAGTATTTCTAGAATACAGTGGATCTTTCCTTGAATAGATACCGCCTCCATGGTCGAGGGGTTAGAGTCGATGACTTCTAATCCAGTCACCTCTCTGGCATGGGTTCGATCCCGGGGAGAGGCTTTGGTAGTTTAGCGCGGAGGAAGGTAGTCTAGTACTGGTGTAACTCTCCAGGAACGATGGTTAGGAAACTACCTGCCTATATGATTGAAATACTGTTGGAAAAAGGCGTAAAATGAAACAAACAAACAAACAAACCTAGAATAGATTGGGGTCATTCTAGAAAAGAGCCAAAGCATTCAAGATCAGAATAATCCCAGCTTGCACTTGAGTGTTTCCTGGTATTGACAACAACTGGTCTCTGAATTTAGCATTTTTCTTATTAAAATTCCTTAATTTGTAAGTGGACTGTAAAATACTGTTTTCCTGTCTTGAACAGAATGATATACAACTTAAACAGGATATATAATCACATACTGCTTTCTATATGTTAATCAGCAAGAGTTATTTCCCTTGAAATTTATTTAGCCATTAGAAAATAAAGGAAATTTTATTACCCGGTTACCCAGTATTTTATCATTGTAAAGCCATGTCATCCTAAATTTCTAAGGTGCCTTATCAGACTGTACTTTTAGCAGTAATGATTTTAGAATTTTTATATCTTGCACATGTAATAGTTTAAAGCTGTGTGCCTGTAGATGAGCCAAAATATTTCAAGAAAATCAAAATAAAGAAAAAATGTACTAAGATTTAAGAAAAATCAATAGATTCAAGATTCAAGTAATAATTTTACATGTTATGTGCGATTACTGACTGATTTATGTGCGATTACTGACTGATTTTGCAGTATTTATCACAATATTTTCACTGCATGATTTACTTAGTAAGGGCTACTTTTGCATATTTGACACCTTTTTAGTAATTTATATGGATTGTAGATGCTATGAATATATATTATTACCTATAATACTACATGTATATAGTGAAAACCCTCAATTAAGACCACCATTGGGACTGGACGAAAGTGGTCTTTATTGCGGGGTGGTCTAAATTGTGAATATTCTTATCATTGCTTACATACTTTATGACCATGGTCTTTTTAAGTCCTGTTGTATGAACAAACAATATGTATCTTAACCTACAAATACAATATAAAAGTATGTAATAATATTTTATCTGATGAGAGGTAAATATACTTCTGAAGAAATTTAACATTAAAGTCTCTTTTATCTGATTTCAATACTAATTATTATATGATGAACATAGTTCACCTATCAAATAAGAAACAAAATAAATGTGCTGAAAGCAACACTAAATCACTAAAAAATTACTTTCTCACCTTATTTCATACAATAACCCAAAAACAACAGTTTTTCACACCTTGTGAAATTAAGTGTCATGCCTAAGAGCTTTCAAGCAGATCATAACACCAAATTTTAGAATAAGATAGGTGTTGACTTTAATGTCAGTGGTCTCAATAGTGGGGTCTAATAAAGTTTAAAACAATGAATTGGGAATGAATCTGGATATTCTTAAAAGTGGATATACAGGTGATCTAAATTCTTGATCATGTATCCATTGATGTAGAGAACAGAAAAATCTTGATAGAGGTGGTCTTAATTCCAGGGTGGTCTGAAGTAGGGATTCTACTGTATTTCTTATGCCTTATTTGAGCTAGTTCAATTTGTTGAATCAATGATTTATAATCCAATGTAATGAACTGGTTATTTTGGCAAAGGTCATAATATTTTTGTCTCTAATAAAAAAGAACTTTGTGGAACGTTTTATTTTGTAATGCCATATCTCAGCATATATAATCAAGCCATACTGACTGGTAATAAATAGAAATTTGCTGACTTGAACAAATTGCTCTTTATATGTGCCCATCCTTGCATGACATTTTGATCTTTACCTGATACCTGAGAATGCTTTGAGGGATGAACTTTAAATGAACTTAAAGAATCAATGTATGTGGTATATCAGCACGTACCTCAATTGTCTCTAAACTTGGACAGGATATTTGTCCTAGAAATTACTGGGAAAGTTTGAATATGGGTCATCTTGGGTGAAAAACTAGGTTGTACAACTCAAAAATGGAAAAAAATGTCTTGTAATCACTCTAAAAACTACTGTTTCATTCCATATGTACTTGAAATTAGTTAGAAAGGTTGTTGCAATGATTTCTAGCTCACATACAATATGGGTCATTTGGGTCAAAAACAAGGCCACAGAGACCAAATATGCAAAAACATTGTTAATATATAGATGTTTTCAGCCAAATAATTTGTAAATCTCTCATACAAATTATTTAGTTGATGTCTAGCTGAAGTTAGAATATTTGCTTTTTATTTACAGTTAACATCATTGATTGTTCCTTGTCATTTAGAGCCTTAATAATCAAGTGAGCGATACATCTTGTATCAGATTTGTATCAGATATTTCTGTTGAAAATGTGTCAGAGTTAAATCGTATACACTAACATGTACAGTGTCTTAACTTTAGTGTAGATATTAGTTACCCGCATTCAAAAGCATGCTCATTGATTGGCTCATTTTTTGTGGGGTTTACATAATGTGACAAGAAAGAAAAGAGAAGGGATAACGTTAGAAATGTCGTATTCAGATGCTTGTTCATTGGTTATCTTTTCTGGGATTTCATATTGTGACAAAAGGGATTGTGTTTTTGTTTTTGCCTGTGATACCAAAGAGAAAGAACATCAAAACAGTCCGCACTATGATTTATACTAGGCGGTGGGGGAGGGGGGGTGCTATGCCTCTTTCAAATCAAATAGCCTTGTGTTTTGTCAAATAGCCTGTTTCTATTACATGGCCCTTTTATTTCATGTGAAGGTTCAATCTAGCTTGTTCCAGTATTGAATAAGGTGAGGTTAGTGCTTTTTGTGCTTTCTTTTGAGACACCCTGCTAGTTACTGATAATGATTGACAAAGACAAGGTGCTTGCTTTTCTCCACAACATGTAATTTATTGTGTTGATAAGATCTTACACCCAACAATCATTGTTTGTGAATTTCAATCCTGACAACTTGAAAGAATAGGTTTTATGGTATTATAAGAATATGGTATTGCTCATATAAAATGACTGCCTCAAGAATAACAGGAAACAGCAACACAAAATCATTGGTCAATTTATCTATTGAAAAGTTAGCCTCATTTACTTTGAGATTTGAGAATTTCTAACTTTATGATTTCAGGCAGAAGATGTATATTTACTCTTGCCACGATTCAACACTAGTCGGTCTTCTAGGTTTGCTAGATGTGTATGATTTTAAATGGCCACCATTCGGTTCTTACGTGATTTTTGAAACATATGAAAACAAAGAGCAACAGAAGTTTGTCAGGGTATCATATAATGGAAAGGTAGGTGGTATTATACATGCATGTTTAAATTGACATTAGTTGTGGCTGCGTATTGGAGAGGGGCGTCTGTGGCCAAGTGGTTAAGGTCGTTGACTTCAGTCAAACCACTTGCCACTACAACATTACATTGCTTCAGCCTAGAGCTTCTTTTTTCTTGCCTAAACTAGTGAACACCAAACTTACTTAATGCTGCTCAGCTGATATAGCTCTAGACAGGATAGCATTATCTTGACCTGAAACAACTTGCCTCTCACCACTGTGGGTTTGAATCCCAACATGACCTTTGGATTGTTTCATTCGCGGAAGCTATCCAACAAGCATACAGAATGCTGGTGGTTCTACTCAGGTGCCTGAAATAATGCATTGGTGAGCACCTGAGTTCTTCTCACACAAGTCAAGTGGGATAGTTGCCATGTGACCTTTACTGAGTTTGTGCTACTTAGAACTCATCAAAAAGAAATATAGCATTGTAACCTGTATGCAAAACCCATTTTATGGACAAATGTCTAATTGATTTTTCCACGCTCTTGCCCTTTAACCAGAATGATTTGTTAGAAAGGTACTAATAACTAATTAACAATACACAACTTCATTTTTCTGTGCTCTTGCTTACTCGAGCTAATTGTGCTTAATGTACAGAGTATTGGCAACAAGTATTGGCATAAGGCAAACACAATATTTTAGAAAGTGGACATTCATGTATTAATAACACACAAAATTAGAGGCAGGTCACCTTTTAGCTCCACTTTATGAAGAAAAAATGAGGAGTTATATCATTACCCTCTCCTCAGTGTGAGCGTCAGATTTGTCATTGGTTACCCTTTTTGTTAAAGTCCAATTTCTTTTTAGAAACCATATAAGCTATTTAAACCTATACTTGTTAGTCCTCTACCGGTTTAACCGGAGGGGACTTTAGGTTTACCCTCCGTCCGTCTGTCAGTCTGTCTGTCAGTCCGTCCGTCCACAAAACTGGATCCCGCGATAACGCAAAAAGTACTGAAAATATTTTTATGAAACTTGATATATGGATAGATGGCAGTATGGAGATTATGCACGTCTTTTTTTTTCTTCCTATGTTGAAAATTCTGGTTGCTATGGCAACAAATAGCCTGAATTTCAAGATTTCTGATTTAAATTTTTCAGCTTTTTCACTATAAGTTCTTTATTTCTTAAGGTGTTTACTTCAAACTTTAACCATCAACCACATCATATGTGACAAGGTTTACAAAAAAAAATTATCACTATTACCTCCCTTGAACTTAGAATTTTTATGAAAAAAAATGTTGTCTTTTTTAAATAACTTCTTTATTTTCTAATGTATCTACTTCAAACTTCATATAAAAGTTTCTTATTATCACTCAACATTTTTGAGAAGGTTAAATACTCTAGCAAGACTATTTCCAGAATTATCCCCCCTTGAACTTAGATTTTTTTCGAGAAATTGGTATTTTTCACTCCAACTTCTTCATTCCTTATAGGATTTACTTTAAAATCCCACATCATAATTATATGACAAGGTTGTCTAAACATAATTTCCTTACTAGGCAGGGAAACTTAACACATTACTGTGATATAGACAAACTTAGAACTCAAAAGATTTAAGTTCATTCATGTCATTCATTCACTGGTAAAATTGAATGGCCAATGGTTCATCAAAATGTTGCTGGGGTTCTAACCGGTAGGGGACTTATTGATTGCTTGCAATACTATGATAATTGCTTGTTTATTGTCTGGAAATGACGGCTTTTTAAAAGGCAGGTAACCCAATCAAAGCTTGATATACATATTCACTATCAATATATGAAAATATTTCAGAAGGGTTGATGATCCTAAAATCCTTTTTTGCAAAGTTATACCCCGTTTTTTTACTTACTCTTTTTCTTTATAAGTCCATTTTCTCAAAAACTGTCAAAGATTATCACTTCAAACTTGGAATATGTGTTACATTTTTTAATTGGATTGCTTTTCTAAAGGGCAGGTAAATTTTTTTTTTCTCAGTTGTGACCCAATTTTACTTTGAACTTATTGGTTTATTTTTTGTTCAGGTACATTTCTCAATAAGTATCAAAGATATTCACTTGGAGTACTTATTCATTATGAAAATTTAAATGCATTTATAAGGGGCAGATAATCCCAAAAGCCACTTTTGCTTTTTTTGACTTAGAATATTTTTCTTTTTCTCCAAAAAATAAAAAAAAATGAATGAATAAATAAATGAAATAAGAAAAAATTCTCTTCACACTTAAAATATTTCTTGACTATCAAGGGCAGGTAAATCTGCTTAGCACATTTGCAGAATTATGCCCCCTTTTTATAATGTTGATTTTATTTAACTAGCCAGCTTTGAGAAAAAAGGAGAGGGCTGTCTGCTGATATGTCTTGTTTATTTTTGTCTTAACTTAAATAAGGTCCACTTTGCCCATCCAGTGACAGTGAATTCTTACTTAAGAGGAAGACAAGTGGTGGGCTTGTCCTGAATAAGCAAAAGTTATAAGAATCAAAACTCTGCCAAATACCCATATTATTATAACTTATAAATTTTTTGACTGGTTATATGGTCCTATATAAATGGTTGTTTGTAAATATAACCCAAGCTGCTAGGTTATTGCAAATAACTGTTTATATGAAGCCATATAACCTGTCCGGAATATTATAACCTGTCAGGAATACTAGTATTGATTAATTATAATGAATTTATATTACTGTACACTAATACTTTTTGAGAGAAAAAAAGTGAGATTTATTCATAAATTGACATAATATCGATATATATTAAACTATTTAAACAGCATGGTTATTCAATGAAAAGCGACCTTACAGACATGCAAGGCCATATTATATAAGATAAAACTTCCTGTTTACTGAATTTTGAATCACGTTCCTGGACAGTTTCTACAAGAGTTGCTCCATGTGCTTTATGAGAGACAGGAAACACTTGAGACAGTGTGATACATGCTAATATGTTATAGCATATTTGAAAATGAATTTTAAAATCAAAAACAAAAAAACAACAACAAAAAACAATTAGATATGATAGGTAAAACTGAGGAAATATTAAGAAAAACAGTTGTTTTATAAGCATTACTCATGTAAGCTGTTGTTTTTGTCCCTTACATCATGTTCTGTCTGTAGTAAACAACTATTTCCTCCTGTTTGGTTCTGCCAAGGAATTAATTTTATCAGATAAATGCTCCATTTGATGTAGGTATAGACCAGTAACTTATGTAAAAAATGGCGGATCATTCTCTCATTCCATTTTTTCCAGAATAATCATATCTGTCATATGTTGTGGTTGAGATAGGAATATACGTCCCTCTGGAGCTCGCCTTGGCCATTAGGGGGTTCTCGAGGGATGGATATTCCGATCTGAACAGCAAACATACGTCAATTATTTTTTCTTGCATATTCTTTTCGTTACTAAAACAATTTTCCATGATAATTTATGTTTTTACACCCGTAACTATTTTCTTAGGACAACATAATGAAATTACATCTTCATTTATAAATGGCAAAATTATATCTAAAGCATGCCATTGTATAGCACACAACTCCTCTAGCACCTTCCATGCCAAATGAAATTTCTTGCATGGGTAAAACTAACAGAAAAACCAGTCTGATTAAAATAAAATAATTATTCTTAACATGAAAATTGATCCAAAATTTAAAAGGGTTGCTGTGCTTTTCACTCAAATCAGGCAAAGAATAGCACAAGAATATGATTTTCCATCTATTTCTGAGAATATCTTTCTATTTTAAATGTCCTAGATGATCTATGTAGTAAATTCTTTTTTTTTTATATGTTTTTCTGCTTTTTGACCATAGTGGAGTTGCTTTAAAGAAGTGGCAACAGTAACAGACATTCTGGATGATTTATCATGAAACTGTGACTCAACAGTTTGTTTCAGCATACAAATGTTCTCACTGAACGTAACTTGTCAATGTAAAGGTAAAAATTAAATTTTTATAATGTCACTTTAAATGTTTTGTATCCAAACATAATATAATAATGATAAAAATGATTTATTGCAGGATCAAATTGTAAGAAGATGCAGTACTGAGTTAATTCCCTTGGAAGAGTTAAAGACAAATATAGGACACTACGCAGTTGATAAAGCAGAATACGAGGAAATTTGTGCTTCAGATATTTTAGAAGTTATTGCACAAGGTTTGTTCTATGAGATCACAATTTTTATTTTATCCCTCCTTTTTATTCTTGGGAGGGCAGTCATGTCCCAGGTGGTTAAGGTTGTTGGCTTTAAACCACTTGCCCCCACCACTGTAGGTTCGATTCCTGACAAGGACTTTGATTTCTTTCATGTGAGGTAGCTTATAATCTAGCTAGCTTATACAGAGCATCAGTGGTTCTACTCAGGTACCTGTTTGTGCCAAAAATAATACAATGAGGGAACCCAAGGTCTTTCTTTACTAGTTAATCTGCCAAATGACCATGTTGTTTCTGTGATGTAATACCTGACCTAAAAAGCAGAATAAAAACAAACTCCTCACTTCTTTTATTTTGCCTCTGATTCACTTTATGTTGCCACTCCTTTACTTTACCCGCCCTGTATTTAAATTTTAAAGGGCCTCTGTGGCCAAGTGGTGAAGGTGGCTGATTGCCCCTTACTGCTGTGAGTTGGAATGCTGTTAAGGACTGTGGATTCTTTCAGTGAGGCAGCTATTCAGCAAGCTTTATTTCTCCACTTTCCAAAGAAAAAACAGAAATTATTGTCATGACCCTCTCGTAGGCATTAGACATTGGCATCAGTGTTGGTTAGCCTTTTCATTCAGGTCCAATCCTAAAAATTTACTGCATGATATTAAGTTTCGCCCTTTTATAAACATGTATTTTTAGCCCTGGTTCACCATTTTGTAAAGGTCCAATTTCCTAAGATACTATTTATTTTAAAGTTATTCACTTCAAACATGATATCATAATATAACACCATTTCTGAAGGACAGATAATCCTTAATTATATTTTTGCAAAGTGATGCCCCTTATTGACTTAATTTTCTTAATTTTCTCAAAAACTGTCTAAAGTTAATCACTTCATACTTACAACAATTGTTCAGTTCAGAAAATACCTCAGCTGAGTCCCTTTAACCTTGGAGAGAGTATGCTGTTAGCTTGTCTTGCACTGAGTAATTAAAAAATTCCACTTGCAGATGTAATGGCGCAAGAAAAGGGAGAAGTTGAAGACATTGAAGACAAGGAGAGGTCTGACACTCCTGCTGGAATGTAGAACATGAATATTTATGAGCATTTGATTAGAAATATGGGACAACACATAGAATAAAAATATGCAGAACATGAATATTCATGAGCAATGACTAGAATGTAGAACATGAATATTTATGAGCACTTGATTAGAAATACAGGTCAACACATGGATATAGAAATAAGCAGAACATGAATATTTATGGAAATCATGACCCAGAATTTTTATTAGCATATTTGTGGGAAATGTAAGAACATGAAAATATTTATGACGTTTTTGAATGTAGAAAATTCAGGACATTCACATGAAATTATACACATTTTGGAATATAGAAAAATATGCAGAACAATATGAATATTTATGAGCCAACATGTACCGCCCATCTTGAATTAACATAGTTACAATTGGTACAAATTTCAGAGTAAAATGCATGATCATTAAATGTTCCCAATAGTGTGTTCTTGCAGTCGCGGGTTTGCACATATTAGCACTCACTAATAGACATGTAGAATGACATTTGGGTAAACTTAATGTGAATATTTTCATGAAACCATCTTAATTTGCATATCTGTTACTAACAATCTGGACTGTAGGATCAGAAATATGTATGATCTTATAGATTTGGCATAGTAATAAAACATATGGAATATAGAGAATGAATATTCATGTTCATTTGATTTGCATATCAGTTTAGTATCTGAAATGATGATTCATGAATATTTATGAATTTACACCTTATGAATGTGGGACATTAATTTGAATAAACTTAGTTTTTGTCCTTGATGAATATTTGATTTATTGTTTATGATAAGTTGATTTATATGAAATGTTAAACATAAATGACTAATTGATTAATATGCTTAGTGTTTTTGCTTAATTTTGCCTGGGGTTCACTTTTTTTGAATATTCATAAAAATAATTTGCATAATAATGCACAATATATGATTATTAAGAGCCTGTTTTAAAGGCATGTGTTATTAATTTTTTGCTTAATTCATGCATTTTAAGTGTAGGTTATAGGTTATATACAGATTTTTAAGAAATTAATTTTCGAGCGAACGAAGTTAAGCAATTAACCAAAAAAGTTACAATGGCAACTTTAAATACACCACGGATTTATATTACATGTAAATGTACAATCTCCACACAGTGATCTCCCCTTAATTCTTCGGCGTAGATCTCTGCCACCAAGGTCCCGATATATCAGAATTTCTGATATACTATATTTTTTCAAAAATTGTTTTATCTACTGCTTTTATCTATCAGATAAGTTTTCTCTCATTTATTTAACAATGTTTATGAATAAATAAATAAATAATATGCATATTTAGAAATAATTTTAAAAAATATGAGATTATTTTCTACCGAGACAATATTTTGATATTTCATATTTTTTAGCGTTTGAATTTATTTTTCGTTATTTTGTATACTTTCAATAATATTTTGATAAACTATATCGAACGTAGGCACCAAAAGTTAAAAATAAAACAGAAAGAGAAAAATAACGTTTGATTTTCTTTGTAACGGTCGATATTTACATTTGAATTTCGACGTTACGTCATGTGACTTTCATCATCATGTGACGTCTTTGAAGGCAGTGATTACAATTCTGCCAAGGGAGGTAATCACTGTGAGGAGTTTGGTAAATGTAATGTAAATCAATGAATACACACACAAAAAACAATAACAACAAAAACAAAACGGTATTGCCTATTTTTCTGTGAAAAAAGAATAGCAATAATTTTAAATTTCAAATATAAAAATATGGTCTTCCATGAAAAATAACAAATTTTTACTAAGTTTCTTTGTTTCAAATTAAGCTGAATTTGATATTATGAGAAACTTCCGCCTATATGACTGAAATACTGTTGGAAAAAGGCGTAAAAATGAAACAAACAAACAAAGGAGATACTTGCTTTAGATCACATTATAAGTTTATGTTGAAGCATCTTGAACTTCACTAAATTTAAGTTCATTATGTTAATGCAAATAATTGATTTGTGGAAAGAAGGTAAAGAACTATTTATTCATTTTCTTGTTAAGAATTAAAAAAAAATATTCATTTTTCAAGATCTTTTTATTTATTTTTCATACAAAAAGTAGTCCCTATTAAGAATCCAAAGACCTTTTTGTTTGTTTTTCATGAAAAAGAAGCCCATATTATAAAATCCAAATAAAGGCAGGTTAAATGTTTGTATATGTAGTGTTACATGCCTTTTTATGTATAGTCTAGATAGATGTATAAGTAATTATATTACACTAAGAGCTGTGCTCTGTTTATATTTAAGAATTTTAACTCTGTTTTCATTATGACTTATTTATAACATCATTGTCTTTCAAGTCGTTATTACATACATTTACGAGTATTAGCCTCATCTTGGAATTATTGTTAGTCAAAACATTAAGTATTAAGCATTCTAGGTACACAGGGCGTTGACTTCAAACCATTTGCCCCTCACCCCTATGGGTTCATGAAGCAACAAAATAATTCTGTCAGTAACTTTGTATTCTTTTATGTGAGCAAGCTATCCAACTAGCTTACAGAATTTTAGTGGTTTTACTCTGGTGACCGTTCGTGCCTGAAATAATGCACGGAAAGGCACCTGAGTTCTTCCCCCACCAGTAAGTTTGAAAGTCATCATATGCCCTTGACTGTGTTGGTGCATCTACCCAACAGGAAAAAAAATTCTGGGTGCACTTACTTTCATGTGCAGATATTTAAAGTTTGCCCATTCTTCATCGTAAGTTTGTTACATTTTTTGTTGTCCCTTGGGATCATAGTGTCTAATACTTTTAGTTTTTGATGATTGATGCTATTGATGTTATTTGACATGTCATTACTCCAGAATAAAGAATATCTGGGACTTACTCTACCTAGAATAAAGAATACTTTGGACTTACTCCAGAATAAAGAATAATCTAGACTTACTCCATTATAAAGAATATTTGGGACTTTCCCCAGAATAAAGAATATATAGGACTTACTCCAGGAAAAAAAGAGTATTTAGGACTAACTCCAAAATAAAGAATAATTGGGACTTTCTAAGCTAATCCTCATTTTTAGTATAAATATATATAATTTATAAATATTGGGAACAATTTGACTGTGAATATATTAAATTATTTTTTTTTGTACAAATTTGAGCAAATTTAACTTCAATTTGGTACTACCTCATTTTATGTGATTAAACAAATATGAAAAAATTGATGTTGTTTGAGGTCCAATAAACATGATTAAATTTTTATTCTCCCCTTTTGGCTGAGGGGTGGCCATAAATGTTTGCGGCATAAGAATTGCCGCCACCATTCTTTCCTGAAGATGCAACTGAATAAGGTTGAATAATTGGAGTCTATCTAGACCAGCAGGTGTAATGGTTTTGACCCCTGGTGTTGGTTTGAAGTTTGTTACGCCTGAGATAAGCCCAAATCATCTTTCATGTTTTTGGCACCATATGAACTAAACTGTGTTGGTGTACGATAAAACCAGACAAACAAACAGACCCATATTTACTGTATTTAAGTATGGCATCTTTTCATTTAAACTTGTTATCTTAACATTCATCCAAAGGTCTTTACTAAAATATTCGACTTTCCCTCCAATATATGTACATATTTCTCTTGCAATTGAAATACGATGAAATGAGAGAATTCTCTGGGAATTTTCACAATAAAGTGTGGAAAATAATTTTGTGCCCGCATGTGTGCATGCATATTTCAAGAGCACATTTTTCAGGAAAACATGAACGTACATGTATTTATCAGGATTGGATCTACCTTTCCCTAAAAATTGAAATAATTCAGTTTCCAGTTACATGTATGCTAAGTGGTGTTTTTTTGTGCCCACACAAAGATACATAGGTTATCTGTTAATATATTTTCTCATATTCCAAGCCTTCAAAACTGATAAAAAATAGTTGTTCTCAGAAAGGGGATGAAGACTAAGACCTAAATGCTCGACAAAAGAAGAATGAAAAGTACAAAATATACATGTAGTAAAAAAAATGGGCATTATGTCACTTTAAAGGCATACTATACCCAATAAATGCTTTTACATTTCGTATTTTTATTTTTCAAAATCTTTTTACTTTTTGTGCAGTTACTTATTGGCTACTGGCCTGAACAGTCTTTTTCTTCTGTCGATTTTGGATTTTGGCCATTATTAAGTATAGTTTATGTAATTTCGTATTTTGTATGGAAGTCAAAATACTACTTTTATTACATTACACTGGCTTTATTACAAATAATTTTACATTTAACGCTACTCCCTACAAGTAACAAACATCTAACATGATCTAAACGATTATTTAAAGATCCTGTAAAACATTTTTTTACGGTTTTATATCATAAATATGATGCTCAAATTAAGATTTATCAATTTTGTAAGTTATTAACGAATTTAACATTTTAGGTAAATAAAGGGAGGTAATAAAAAATTATTTTCTATAGTCTAAGTCAATTTTTTTAATAAGAAATGAATGCCTATATTTTAATGATTGCATATAATATACAAATATTTGCAGTACATATTTTACATATTCTTCGATGGGTAAAAATTGTTTTATAAGCAAAGTTATATACATATATATAATTTTAGTTAAGTGTAGTATACAACCTCAATTACAACATACAGGATCTTTAAACATTATAAAATTCATGTCTGCTCTTTGTATGGAGTAAAAAAAATCTTTCTTTCTGGAGCATAATGTGCCTTTAAACAATAAAGAAATTAAACAGATTTGAAAAAAGTTGCTTATTTACACAGAATAAAGTGATTTTTTAACACCAATTTACAAAATATTGTAGGTTAGTTAACATTATATATAAACATTATTTTTTTTTCAGTTCTGCACTGTTGTTTTTTGTTGTTGTAAAAAATCAGTCAGTTATCAACTGTGATATTAGTTAGGAACAGACATTTAGTGTTTGAAATTATTTTTTGTCTAATAGGATTGCAGTATTTCAAAAGAATCGTAACACATTTACTTTGGTAAATTGGCAAACTGTTAAACAGTCTAGTAAATCGACTGTTTAAAAAATAATTTTTAAAACAAATAAAATTTTGAATTTATCCACAATTCATTAATGAATTATTGTTTTAAGTGAAGGCTATTGTTTAATTGTAAGCATTTACAAAATTTGGTCAAAAAACGGCTGTACTGTTCGTCCAATTTAATTAGGTAAATGCCTACATATGACAACT